AGGGAAGGGAAGGGAAGGGAAGGGAAGGGAAGGGAAGGGAAGGGGAAGTGGAGGCACATGCCATACTGGACCTCTACTTACTATGATAATGTTACAGCTAATTAATACTGTTAAAAACAACTGTCCAAAATGTTATCACAATGTTTATTATAAAGAATGTATAAATATTTGCCTTAAGACACACAAATATATGAACAAAACATACAATAATAAAAAAATGAACAAAAACCAGACTGAAATCAAACTGTCCAGAAAGTAAAAAGTGTGTAATAAATTTTACACTTCAGACTAATTCATTTTAAACCAATAACAAATACAGTGGAAAATAACCCATATACCAATGCAAAAATTAGAAGTCAATACTAGATATGGAGTAGTAAGCTAATTCATTAAAAACAAAACAAAACACAAAACCACAAAACCAACCACAGAGTAAAACCAGCTAAGTTTTCTTCTTTTGTACAACTTTGTTACACTCTTATTTCTATCTTGTTTAATTTCATGTTTGTTGAGATTAATCTTTAGTGTAATTCAAAGAATGCACCTGACCACCATACCGATGAATCGAAGAACCCACAGAAGATCATAGTCCTAGATCCCAACTCCAAGCAAGTGAAAAATAAAACCAGAGTATTGGAAGCACTAGTGGAATAGGAACAATCCCGAAAAACAATGGAAACATCTAATGATTAGCTTGTAATAAAACCATGAGAAAAAGAAAAAGGGGGGATTGTGAGAAATGAATGAAGCGGTTTTATTACAAGCAGGGTTTCCATAATTTCCTAGTGGTGGGAAGTTTTTTTTGTGTGTGTGATCAGGGGTGTTCTGTAGTTCCTGTGGCTGCAGTTCTGTTACAGCCACGACCTGTTAATAGTTGTAATCATGTTGCTGTTGTTTGCTATTGCTGTGTGTAGGCGAACCGGGAAGCCTGTAAGGCAATGAGACCAGCCAGGGCTCATTGCCAAGGGACCATGCGGCCGGGACAGGGAAACAATCTGATAGGATGGTTAAAACAACCAATGGACTGGAAAAGAGAAGTGTGAGCCTGCCCTGAGAGAACCAATCGGGCTCAAGAAAAGGCTATATTGCCTTTTACGGAAG